AATTTTTCGTGACGAGTTTGATAAAGACGTTAACATTAAATTTGAAATAATTATAAATTATAACCTCTAAAATTTTGTATAAAGCCTTTGGAGAGCGATTAACAATAATATAATTTGTGTTGTAGCTTAATAAATGCATGGAGTAATGGTTTTTGATCGATAATTTTCGTTACGGTTTGTAAAATGGAGTAAAATTAAATGGGTTGATACTTTATAAAAGGCATATTTTATTTTATTTATGTCTTGTTAATTATGTTTACGTGAATCTTTGTTGTGTAATTTAATGAAAAAGTGGCAAGTACTTGGGCGTTTCTGGTCCTGGATGGAGGAATCCCTATCTGGATGGAGCACATAATTAAGTGCTCCTACTTTTTCATGTAGTTAGTTTCCGGAGTAGAAAGGCAATTTGACATGGATCCTTGTCAACAATTTTTTTCTTTTGCGTAAAAGGAAATAATACGAAAGTGATAAGAAATAAAACATTTCTTTTGATAAGATTTAATTTTGTTCTATCAAATTAAATTTTGATTCAATTTCATAGAAACGAAATTTTCTTTCTCTTGATTTTTCTTTTCTTTTGATTGATTTTCCATCGGAATGAAATTTTCTTTTGATTTTTATACATTTTCTTTCTTGAAAACTTTAACTGTATTTGGTATTCATGTATTTTTATAGTTTTGGCCTATATTCTAGGCCTACTTGACTAGCTAATGTCCCATCCCATCTCTCTCCACCGTGTAAAACATAAATATAATATATTCTTATAAAACAAAACATACTTTATCCTATGTAAAATTTGATATATAACTTCGTATTGCACATATGTTTGTAAGGAACATGGTTCTCATAATAAGTACGAGTCCATGGTGATGCCAATTCAATATGGATTCAAATTTCATATAAGTCACGTTCCTTATAAACATATGAGCAATATGAAGTTATATTCATTGTGATGCTAATTCAATATGGATTCATAAAAAAGTTTATAGTGATCCTCAATATTGAATCATATTTAGGATCTACAAGCATTTTTAACATAGAAAATCGTTCCGTCTCAAAGAAGTTTTTTCAATTTAGACAGGTTCCCCTTTAATTTTGCTTCCGTTTTGGTCAGGTTTTACTATATTTCCTACATAATATAAAGGCTTAATAAGCATCAGTGCCACCGAAACATGAAATAGAACCTAGAATGTTTGGTGAGGTGAACTTAAGTCCAAATGGGAGACCCAAGCCCTCTGTCTAGGTTACAAGTCGCCAAGTAGCGAAGCCAATGATACTGTCGGTTTCATACAAAACAGGCCACGCCATTGGCTCACTAACTCAGCTGTTTGTCACATAAAGGTACCACTTACCTACATTTTGTGCAGCTGTATGCTGCTTAAGGTTCTCTTAGAACAGTTTGAATATAGAATTAACGGGTAAAGGAAGAGTAAAATGACTCTTGAAACCGGAAAAGGAAAAATCACCTAATCCTTGAATGATCAGAGAAGAAGAAATGCATAAAATTCATGCACAGAAATTATACTGTATCTGAATTTAAACCTCAGAAGAATTTGGACATAATTTACATACAATTCATCATAAGAATAAATCACGTACATCAAACCACACAGAAAAACCATTTGACCATTTAAAAATTTTATAAAATAAAAAAATACAAAATTACATACACATTTATACAATTTTTTCACATTTACCAAGCAAATATGGCAACACATTAAGTCATTAATATAAATTAAATCTTAATAAACGAAAATCTGGCTGAATATCAAAAAGAAAAAAGTTTAAAGTGCGTGTAAAATTATAAAAGTAGTTAATAATAAAATAACTATTTAAAAAATTATTTGATTAAATATAGATTAATGAATGAAAAAATTAAAACACATTTTCTAATGACAGGGTAGAATTTTAATTTCATTTAATATATATTTTTTTTGGTAAGAATCCAAACATTCTTGGTGGTACGAACAGAGAAATTTGGAATCTTCTTTAATGGCTTCGGGACAATGTTCCAGTTCATTACTTTTGTGGAACACAGGAATAATTTTTCGGATAAATTCTCTATGTTCAATGCTCCGTCGCTACTGAAATTGCATTTTTTATTACCATCTTTTTATTTTTTTAAATTTTGTTTCTTTTATCAGAAACCATAAATTCACTTCTACATCATTTAGATAATATTCTTAAAAAATCAATTTAAACAAATAAAAAACAAGAAGCTGGCAAGGGCTCTTCGACTTTCCGTTAGGATTTTCGATAATTTTCAATTATACTAACTTGTAAGATAAAAAATTAATAAATTTTCCCCATTAAAAAGTATATTCAAGTTTATAAAAATTTATTATTATTATTATTATAGAAAAGCATAAGGCTTAATTTTGAGGGTAGAGCTGAATTAAAAAGAAATTACAAATGCCAATAACCAGTAAAACTTTCATCAAGCCAATCTCCTACTCGAGAAGTGTACAACACGTGGATCTCCTTTTCCTCCCCATCCCCTTGATCTTTAACCATAAAAATTTGAAAGCAGCAATACCCTATACGTAGAAATAACCCTGTCAAATTTCAAAATTTTTGGTTCATCCAATCATGAGATATAATGTAAAATAGACACCGACACACACCTAAATACAAACATAGTATTTTGTATGTAGGATTGTGTAGGTGTATGTAGATGAGTGTAGGTGTGTGTGTGTATGTGTGTGTGTAGGTGTGTATAGGCGTATGTATTTTACATTTTGTGCTTATAAATTGTGAAAACGCCGAAAAATGCCAAAAAGAGGGAGTTAAAACGTTCTCTATGTTATATTCTATAAAAGCCAGGAAAGTATGGTAACCGTCAAATTTTGACACCTTTTCGGTTATTTATTTATTTAATTAATTTTGCGTCGACGTTTTGACACTCACAAGGAACTCTGAAATGTAGAAAAGAACCTTTACATACACACACAATTTTTTCGGTATGTGTATGGGCGTCTATTCTTTATTATATCTCAGGACTGGATGAGCCAAAAATTTTGAAATTCGTCAGGGTTATATCTATATATAAGGAATTGATGCCGCCAAATTTTGATGATTAAAGATCAAAAGGATGGGAAAATAGAGGAAGGGTCACGTCATATCGCGAATGGTAATTTTACTCGTTATTGGCATTTACAATTTTTTAAAAACTCGTCTCTACCCTCAAAATTAAGCATGTTGTCTTTTTATAATATACAACAGGGTTAGATTTAATGACGATTTTACTCGTTATTAGCATTTACAATTTTTTAAAAACTCGTCTCTACCCTCAAAATTAAGCATGTTGTCTTTTTATAATATAAAAATTATTTTTTTAAATAAAATCTCATAACAGATAACGCCACACACAATTTTAAGTTTGAACTAATGTGTCTTAGCGTATTTTACACTTAAAAATCTCTATATATTTAGCATAGTTCAACAAAATTGCTCCTAAGCTTTTGTTACTACAGTATTTAAATTTTATAGTATAATTTAAAATTATTGGACTTCCTAATGGTATCTCCTTAAATGATCCCCTAACCTCCTCTTGTTCCAGTGCTAGCAAGGTCCCGCAAATCTGTCAGCTTTTTATAAAAACTTTTTGCCCAATTATTGATATGACTAAATATAGATAAACAACTTTATTCAAATTTATTGTGTTAATAAGCTCTACCAGAAATTTCATATTTTAATTCATTACTACTAGCCTCTTTGAATCATCATTCCAACTCCTTGCCAAAAAATCAGAATATTTCATCCAAGTATGCCTTCAGCAATGAAATAGATTGCAATTTCAAGTTTTGTATTTATATTATGAGTTATTACGCCTGGAATTAATATTTTTCATTTATTAGGAACGTAAAAAAAATTTGCAAGAAAAATAATAACGGTTATTTCATTAGATACAACCAGTGGCGTAGCGAGGGTGTCAGCCGCCCGGGGCGGAGGAAAATTTCGCCGCTCCCTTATTTAGGTATCTCAACTTAAAAGACTAAAATTCTGTTTCTTCACAGAATAAGTAATTAAAAATTCATTTCAATCAGTCCGAATCGTAGATGCGACAAAAATATGAAATGAAATGGTTCAAATTTTTACAAGATATTATTATTATTATTTATTGTGAAATTTTGCCGCCCCCTAAAAAGTGCCGCCCGGGGCAGGCCTCCCCTGCCGCCCCCACTACGCTACGCCACTGGATACAACACATGTTGACTGTAACAAAAACTTAGAATATTTACTTTTCTCTGACCAAAAATTAGAAAATTGAAACGTAATCTGAATAATGATAAACAGGAGATAGATACAGTATTCATTATCTTTCTAGGAAATGAATTATTCTTCACCATGTAAAACAGGACGTAAAATTATGCAAATATAGTGGTAAAAAATGGAAATAACAATGCAGTAATTGCTCTATCTATTTTCAAAACATGGATAAGAAAAAACAGTTGTCTTATCTATGGAAAAGAAAAAAGTTATTTTTGTACTTCATAAAAGTTATTAAAATTCACAATTTCAAAGACGACATTGTGAATATTGTCTAAAATTAGAAGAACATTCGAAATTCAAACATTAATTTAAAATTAATCCGTATAATTACAAAATTGCAATTTTTACTTTTCGTTGAATTGTTTTCTTGACTATCTCTGTCTATCCCATTTATGCTTTTTGGTATAAAATTATACGTGTTTTTTCACCAGCAAATAAAAAACCCAAATACTTACTATTGTGTGTCTGTAGGAACCACGTAAGTGTACAATTGAAATTAATCTAAAAATCGCTGATAACTTACATCAATTACAAAACTAATTTCTTCTTTATAATAAGAACAGTATCATTTAAAACTATGAACAGTGTAAACACTATACCTAAAACAGCAATCTGCATAATTTGTTTCTAAGTCAATTATTATATTAAATACTCACAACAGCAAGAGATGATATTCAGAATTTGTAATGTCTTTAGAAATATGCTATTGCTATCATGTCACAATAATTTTGAATGTGTTAAAAGATGGCCATTTCTAAAACCACAGTTGCTATGCGAAAATCGAATTTACGAAAACAAAATCATTCACCTTTCATAAATCACAGGTGAACTCTCACTTTTCTTTTCCCATTAACTTCTTTTTGATTTAATGAATATTCATAAATCATTAATTCCTTTTGTAGCAAAGAATACGTTTAATTTCTTAAATCTTCCACTTCTCAAACAATATTAACACCATCTTCTATGCATTTGATAATCCTCACCGTAATAAAATTCATTAAAGATCAAAATAAAGGCAACTATTGAAAAAAAATATTTTAAACTTAACGTTAAAGACATCTTTTCTTGATGTCTCATACATTAGAATTGCAAAGGAAGGTGTCACGCACGCATGTATATGGCCTCTCTCCGAGCCTTCCACTAAAAAGAAGTTAAAATATTGGACTATGGTATAACTGAAATCAGGGTTCAATCAATAGTCAACTCCCCAAAGTATCACAGGTCGAATTCTTGGCTATCAGTTTTAAGTCTGTCTACGCAATGTCTATTGTATGAAATTCTAAATATGCGTAGATGCAATGTTATCAAGGACATGCGCTACGAAGTATCTTTTGAAACATTATGTGGCACGTGGCATGAGATAAGAATTTCTTTTCGAATTTAAATAGGATTCAAAAACATTTTAATATTACAAAATGTATAAATTTATTTCCAATTTTATTTCGTTTTCACATTCATACAATGTTATAAATTTTAATACGGTTCAAACTTGGTAGAAGAGATTGCATTGGATTTCGAATTATTCTAAAACTTTTAAATTTCTACATTGAACTGTTTTCAAGGTCTTCCTTCTTGGAGAATCGAATGGACGAAAAGGTACTAATTAAGCGTTTTATTTTTACTCGTTAAAAAATTAAAAAGAATTAAATTAGATAAAAATCATTCAAAATTTAAAATTTATCTGTTTATTTCAAATACTTTTATATGTTCACTTTGGAACGCAATTTAATATAATACAAATAAATCGATATCATTAAATATAGGGTAATCCTAATAAAAGGGGCTCAGAGTTTCGTGTAGAAATAACTAATGGGTAATGGTTACTTGCTTAAAGTGTACGCTTTCTGTTAACGAAACAACAATGCTAGCTCGGCATCAGAGGGGAGAGCTGGGGATTTTCCCCGGGCTCGAGAAAACTTAAGAGGCCCGTAGTAGTTGTTATTCGTATAAATTAATGTTATTTTTACTAACAAAAATAAAATCTTTAAAACTACTTTTTATTAATAAAATACATTTTAATAAATGAAAAACGTAGAAACAAAAACAATGGCTAAGGTTGAATATAAAAATAATAGTAATTTTAACAAGAAAAATCTTAGAATACTGCAACAATCTATTCTTGAAGATAAGATTAATAAAAAATTAATTTTATTCATTTCTGTAATTTTTTAATTTTTTTATGATAATTGTCAGTTTTTCGATGCTTTCAAGTTAATATTTTCTAGAATAAAGAACGAAAATGATATAGCAAGAGTGCAAAATTATTCATTTTGTACTCTTATAAATTGATCTGTAAAAATTTAAGTAATTACACAAGGCAGAAAATGATTAACTCATAACAACACCAAACTCATTTCATTAAAAATTAATTTAAGTAATATATTTATGAACAAATTCAATGTTATCGTTGAATTTGTTATTAAACTAATTATTTAAGAATTTTTAATGAGAAATTTATATTAAAAAAAAGTAAATTATCTGAAAATAAAACTAATTTACAAACCATAAACGTTAAAAAATTTCTATTTTAGGATTAAAGTTATGTTAAAGATAAAAATTCAAAAATTATAATAGTATTTACACATATTTTAATAACACGTAAATGTCTTGTTTTAAATTCATGTCCGTAGGGGAAAAGCAATTTGATTTTATCCTATCAAAATTATTGATGTAATAAAATTAATACATCAATATTTGAATTAGAACTACGTACGCCAATAATTTTAGAGAATGTCCCTCAAAAAATTTCATTGGAGTCAAATGGTGCAGCTGCATAAACAAAGACTGAAGTAGAAGTATACACATCTACTATAAAATTTATGTAGCCGATTAGATATTTGTATGAATAGTCTTCGATATACGTACTTTAGTAACGATAATGAAAACAATTTATAAAACATTCATATTCCTTTCCTGTAAAGTTTAGAAGGCCGTACCATTGGCTTAGCCTTTGAAGAGAAGTAAGAGGTAAGGAGAGAGTGAAGAGGTGAAGAAGGGGTAAGGAAGATAGGAAAGTGTACAGTGAGATCAATTTATAAAACAATAAAAACAGTTTCAATGCTAAATATTCAGAACTACATCGATAATTTGAGATACAAATGACCTAAAAATCAATATATATGAAATCGACTTTCAGAAATAATTCCACTTATAGATCCACAAAAATTTGTCATTTCAACGAGCATAAGGACGTACTTAAAAAAAAAAATGCATAATTTTCTTATAGTTTTACCGTGTATTAACTTTAATACAATTTGAATACGGAGAATTTTTAGCAGTGTATTTAATTAATGAGTTGTGGTTTATTTTCCGAAACAATATGCTATATACAGTATTTTCAAATGCAATTTTAATGACTTTTCGATTTACGCCCGTTTTACGCCAATCTTGGAACAGAAAGTGGGGGTTGACTGTATTTGTATAATACCTGCTACACATGCACACAATACATATACGCAAGTAATTGTTATATACAATTGTTCTATTGTTATAATAGAAAATTCTGAATTACACACAATTCGGAAATTTTTTTACTATTACTAGTATTTCTAAAACTTAAAAAATAATTATACATAAGTTTGAGTATAAGTTTGCTTTTTATCACTTTTTTTAAACAACAAGATATACTTAGAACTCTCTCTCAGATAACTGAAATTTTAAAACAATTTCAGTTATTTTCTAAAAATTTTCAGAAAAAATAATGCAAACTAAACAAGGTTGAGAAACACTAATAGACACACACCATGCACCTATTTGGTAAAGTATATTATTTAGTAATGTTACAACAGCAACAGAAAGAAAAAAAATACTGAATCATTATTTTTTTAACATCCATATGATCTGACAAGCAATAAGTAGAATATAAACATTGTATTTGTCCATTCACTCATTTCTTCTTTGCGTCTTGAGTCATACCATGAATATTCCTAATTATAATGTCATTTCTTTGCATGTCAACTAGTTAGATATTAATAAAAAAGTTTAAAATAAGCAAAATATGTTTATTATTTGGGAATTTTAACACGTAAATTTATTTGTAAACTACAATAAATAAGAAATTCAAATTTATTACATGCAATACTGCGAAATTTTAATCTATATAAATGGGGATGTTTGTTTGTTCACTATACACTCCTAGGCCGTCCTACCAATTGCTACGAAATTCGGCAATTACGTTTACATACTTCTAATTTGGATAATGTCGTAATCACACCCCGAAATATCTATTGAATTTCTGTAAATCAATTAATTTCTATCTAAATTCGATTTGCTGGTGTACACGTAGCGTCATCTATTGCCAAAAATTTAACAAAATAATAAACTAAATATTGTTTGTACATGAAAGGATATAATTTTTTAAAAAATATATATAATATTCACTTAATTACTATGGCAATGATATAGCGCAAAATAGAAGCGCTATATCATTGTCGAACAGCGACTTGTAGCACATAGCACTTGTCTGTGTGGAATCAAAAGTATTATCCTCTGAAAAGTCTATACCAGTGTTTCTCAACGGGGGCGATATCGCCCCCATGTGGGCGTTTTTCCATGTTGAGGGGGCGATTTGTAACAATTTATATTTTGGGGGCGAAAAACAATTTTCTGGGCGATACAGTAAAACATTATATTAAGAATAATTAGATATTTTATTCGTTATATCGTATAATAATTAAACAAATAACATTATGCTACTAGTCTATTCAATGCAGTACGAATTTGGCGTTAGTCTTGGCCCTCGGCATCGGAATTTTGAAGTAAAGGGGGCCATATTACCTTGAAGGCTGCCATAATTCCTTAGAGCTTTAGAAACACTGGTCTATACTGTAGTAAGTATATGTATTTAATCTTCCACATCTAACGACTCGGGTTTTTTCATTTCTGAACTGCACTTTCTTAATTCTAATAAGTTCCCTCCAGTAGCAGACTACATAAAACCACGGAACACTGGTAGTTAGTTAGTCGTGGGTTCGGGCATACCCAACGGGCTGGCCACGTGGAGTTTTCCATATTTTCTTCACGTTAGTAACACCTAAATAGGGTCCAATAAAAGTCTTCCCGGAATGCATCCCCCTCGTCAAATCGCTCACGTATCGTGTTGCCGTAACCAAATAAGCCAAACTAATTTTAAAGAGCGATTATTTATTGTCACATCGTCACAATACCGGACTGCGACTTTTCGTCAGAATGTTCTCAATTCTTTTACTGGATTCTTGCCCCTGTACATCATACTTTTCCTGTTAGCAACAGAGTAGTGTCGGTCTTTAATCTAACTCCATTAGGGGAAAAATTCTGAATCGAAGTAACGTGACTTCCGTTCTAAATCAGAAGTTTGTATATAGTTAATCTGGGCCTTCTGCCCCTAAGATTTTCACATCTGGTCTTGACTTTCATCTATCTAACTTCTTTCTCGAGATTAAGGAAGGACAGATAACAGTCAGTCAGAATTTAAAGGTCTACAATTTTTTTAAATTGCAGCCCAATAATTTTTCTATAAACGCAATATTTACGAGAACATACTTTCCACGTAGTTTAAACAATCTGTTGCAAAAATATAAACACTTTATTATCATATAAAAGCAATACTCTCGCATTTTTACAATACTTTTTTTTTATTTAAACAAATTTTATATCAAGTCTTTCGACGTTAAGGTTAGCAACTTCGATCACATGCGGGCCATCACAACCTATCCAGCACGGATCGTTTTTCAAATATTAATACACACCAGTATTAAGTGGTAGTCGTTGACCATCCTCTGTTTGGGAGGAGGTGAACAACTACTAATTGGTCGAATTACTTCGACCCCCTTCCGCAACAGCCCCTTCTTTCTATTGGACCAGCGGTATGGTGACATTCGAATAGGAAAATTACATAATACTAGGTTACAGGCCAGCACAAAATATGTTTTAGGTGGTTTTCGAGGGTGCCGAGTTTAAATATTTGGTACGTTTTTCCCGAAATTTGATTCGTTGGCAGATTACCGTTTGATATTCGGCTGTGAATAATACAGTTTCTTAGAGTTAAGATTAGGACAAATATGATATTTTAAATATCTCATTTTTAATTGGTGTCTACTTGACCAACAAAACTGTGCCATTTCGTATCATCCTAGTATCGCGATAAATATGACAATGATAGGCTGAAATAACCAAACTCTTTATATGTTTTAGTTTCATTGTTTGTTATATTATAGAATTTGATTTATATAACTACAAAAGTTATCTTACATAAGGATTTATCACAAGAAAAATTCTTTATTCCTCTACTGTACACAATTTAAAGAATTTTTAAAATGTGTTAGATTGGGCACTCGGTGTGATAAACCCTTACGTAAGATAACCTTTGTAAATATAAATCAAATACTATCATATAATAAAGGGTTACTATAATCAATAAAGGGTTAGAAGTAAGAAATAATCTAATAATCTTAATCTTTGTTGTTACTTTTTGCCCGAGCAACGCCGAGCTCACCTGCTAGTATACTTATAAGACAGAACTTCTAACATAGTCATATCGATTCCAGGCTGCAATTTTTAATTTATTTAATTTAACGTAGGCCTATATGCTCTCCATCTCAAATTAATAGTGGTTTTTC